AATTATTCTTACTTTTACAAATTATGTCTCTATCAAGGCTATTTTTAAGTAAAAGGAGCACTAAGTGTTATACATTTAACATATGTCAAGACAAAATCCAGTGCTGACAGTTTACATTTTTAACCATTTGATAAATGATCAGAAAGCAAGAGTTACTGGTTTTAGTCATTTTTTTTTTTTTTTTCTGCCTCGGAAAAGCAACCAAATGGCTTCAGTATGTGGCTTCCTACATTTTAACGTTCAATCATAAGTCAAGATCTGGGTACACATATCCAAAAGATTTAAAAGGTGATCTGTAATGGCTGAATCTTTTATTTTGTCTCAAGTCATACAGCAGTTTGTGAGAGTCAAACATTTGAGAGCTGACTGAAAATAATTGAAATGTGAGCGCATTTCAGTGGAAGTAGGCCAGTTGCTAACATTCCCTTCTACCTCTGGAAGTTAAATTTCAATATTTAATTGGATAAAAATCAAGAACAATATTCATCATGCAGGGGAATTTCTGTATAAGGTCATGTAATTGGGGAGGTGGGGAAACGGACTCATGGCCTTTCCAGTTGCTAATTCTGTCATTCCTTACATTGAAATAACCCATTCCTCTGAGCATATTTGAGGATGACCTCCTTGGACACTTCCTGTTCAGGGACCATGTCTTTCGGTACATGGTTCTTGGATGAGCGTGCAGCTTCCACAGCATTGCGCCAGGCTTCTGCTACAGCCAGGCATGTTTTGTGCAGCTGAATTGGGCCTGGAGAATGTTGCATCTCAAAATCTGCTTCCCAGTGTGCATTTGTAGAGCATAAGCCAACATCTCTCTGTAGACACAGTACCTTCTACAAGGGATGGAAGAATCTAACCTTCAAGCGCTATAAAATATTGGAAGGGTTAGAGAGAAAATAGTACAAGAAAAACAAATTTGAACTTGTACTATGTGGTTTATATGGAAGCTTTCCATGGTTATATCTATCGTCCCAGTTATACTTCTTTTTGTTTTTTATTTTAGTTTTTGTTTTGTGGGAAGGGTACCAGGAATCAAACTCAGGGCCCTGCGCTTGACAGGCAGGCATTGTGCCACTGAGCTATATCCCTGGCCCATTCCCAATTATATTTCTAATTTCTTCAGAACATGTATTAATTTTAGTTATTCAGTACAGTCATTGAGTTGCTTACTATGCTAAATTTTATTTCTGGTTTCTTTGCTTTTTTATGATTGTGTATCACAGCTATGGCAATATAAAGAAAGTAAGTTCTTCTTTGTATTTATCATCAGTCATTTGCTATTAAATCGGTTATAATCAGAATTTCAAATTTTGAAAGTCATCTTAGTATGGCTATGATAAGAATCATAAACTATGATCTACAAGGTATGAAGATCAACATGTTAATGTTTAGATTATTTTAATTACTCTAACCATATAGAATTTGTATCAGTTGCTATCATATCACTGTATATAATTTAAAATGTTTAAGTCATTTGCTATAGTGTGTGTTGGTGATTTAAAAATATATCAGTAAACTTGAAATTTCTAGCTCATAAAGAATTGCAGACAATATGTTGATAAGTTAATGCAGTTTAATAAGAACTAAATTCAGGCTTGAATTTGTGTACAGGAAAATGTATAGACTTGAAATTTTATATAATTGACATTATATTTTCATAGGATAAAATACACATATCTTTCTGTGATAAAAATTATGACCTATGGGATTGAAAGTAATGTAGTGGTATTTCTGAATAATGTTACTAAAACATTAGTAAGCCTGATTATCCAACATGGAAGAGTTGGCTTTATGCCAACCTCCATAGGGAAAGAAGCCTTCCATAAAACACTTGTTACTAAAATGAGCACTTCTCTACTGTTTTCTACCCCTGGCTTCACGGAGGTCTAAGATCCCTTTAAACATTCCTTGAGAAGCTTTCCAGAGCCTAAATGATTTTCTCTTATAATCCACATAACTTCTGGATAACAACAGAGTAATTGTCCATGTGAATGGAGTCTGCCTCTTAGGAGCAGAATGGGGCCAAGGTCTCTTCCTTGGCTTTCAAAAGACATGCTGTGCTTTATAATGCCAGACAGATGGAGGGGAACTAACTGAAGTGTCCCTGTCTACCTAAGATTTATGAAAAAGACCTCCATGCTAAGATTTTTCATCAATTATGTTGGTTCCATTCAACATATTTATAATGCAAAGACAATTCTAATAACAAAAATGCATTCAAGTCATACTCTGTAGCACATACCTGTAATCCTTACTACTTAGAAGACTGAGCCAAGAGGATTGTAAGTATGAGACCAGTGTGGGTCACTTCTGAATATCCCATCTCAAAGCAAAAAGGACTTAGTTCAGCACTCCTTGCATTCAGTCACTACAACTGCCACACAAAAAAAGTTTGGAGGTTCATATGTAATAACTCATTGAATTGTTTATTGGCTGGGCTGTGAAGTGTTATTTTATGTAAATATTTACCTTTAATATAAAACACCTCTAGAATGAAGGACAGTTATATGAAAAATTAAACATCACATGATTATATCATTAGTAGAAAATGAGAAAAGAAAGATTAGTATATTATCAAAAATTTCAAGTGAAAATTATATGTGTATATGTGTAGATATATATGATGCATATTAATTTCTTCCTTCCTGATTCCTACTTAGACATTAAAGTTCCACATTAGAGATTAAAAATTATTAAATAATCCCTATTCAAAAAATGTATAACTTTGGGATGGATTCCAGACCATAACTGAATTATATTTTATTAAAAAGCAGAGAAAAAATAATCTAAACATGGTAATTTTCTCTATAAAGTTAATTAAAAAGTATATTCAACTTATTTATTTACTCTTCATAAAATCATCCTAATTACAGTATTTGTCTCTACTCAAAATTTAGTTATATATTTTTGATATTATGTTATATTTGGTATATATGTATGTAGACACATATGTGTGAATATATATATTCATATATATGGTTATTTTATTAAAACATATGTATATATATATGTATATGTAGACACATACATGAATATATATTCATACATATATGAGTATTTTATTAAAACAATCAAGTAGAATGGATCAAATGGATGGTAAACTTTAGCATGGAGAAATCAAACAAGAAAGAAAGAGTTCATAGGAGTGATATATTGGGGGCTGGGGATTTAGCTCAGCAGCATAAGCACCTGCCTTGCAAGCAGTCAGCCGTGAGTTCGATCCCCGGTACCTATAAAAAAAAAAAGAAAGAAAGAAAAACAGTGATATATTATAACCAGGCTCAAAAGGAATTATTGAATTTGGCTCAGCCAAGAGGAAGTAGTTTAATTATGAAATTTCATATAACTAACCATAAAATACCTGGGCTTCTTACTGATGCTATTTATATGGTGAATATTATTGCTGTCATTCCTTAAAAGTCATAGTGTTCAACCTATAAACAATGAGTGAACTTGGAAAGGAAGAGTTAGTTGCTAAAACTAGTTATCTTATAGTTTTCTTGATTATCTCAGAGTCTGTTATAACTCTACCCAAAAGTAGCCTTCCTAGCCTTTAAAAAAAGAATAAAGATTTCCTTATCATATGATTCAGACAAATCCCAGGAGAAAAAAATATGTTTGGGCTTCCCTCCATTGACAGAAATCATGGAATAGTAGCAATCTTTATACTGTAACAAAGAATCATCAGCCAAAAATGATGGCCTAGCTTCTGTCTTTAGCATATTCAGTCTAGCAGGAACTATATTATTAAATCATATTTTCATTTAAAGTCTTTTTCATACTTTATTTAGCAGCCTGGTTAATGTCACATCTCACATTACTGAAAGTATTAATCTGAATAACACTCTTGAATTTTTGTTCATAATGTGCACTATTAAAATGCATTGGTATGAGAATTTCAGTAAATAGGGAATATGGAGCCAAATTTCCACCAACATGATTTGCATTTAGGAAATCACTTAGACTTTTTAAAAATGGCACATTAACTCTTCAAAAGCTTGAGCAGCATGACCCCTAACACTTGCGACTGAAATTAATGGGTCTCGGAAACTGTTAGTATGTCCATGCCCTTGCCTAGGTAGTGCTATGTGTCATGTCCCTGCATCAGTTTTTGTAGAAGGTTACTCATTTATAATGTCTTCCCAACTGATCTCAGAAAACTTATCATTTATTCTTGTGATGTCAAATGGCTCTTTTAGATGTGTGACATGTCACAATGATTTATTTAAAGGAAACATCCAAAGCCCAATCTCAGGTTGAATTCAGATTGAGCTCCTAATGAAAGTCTATACTGACTCTAGACAATTCCATTTATGAAGAAATTTCCATTTCATTTAGAATTCTTTGACAAGTGTTGAATTCATTTATGTGTTCAAAAAAAGAGAGAGATCCATCATTTTCTGCTAGTAAAGTAAGGAGAAAGTTATATAAGCCAGAGAAAAATATAGCTCAAAGTTGAAATATAATGACTGTGACTAATGTTAGTATGCTGCTCTTCCTTTCTAAAATTACAGAAACATGGACAGTACTTAGAAACAACTGGTAATGTCTTTTCCCTCTAAGATTTCCATCTTAAGAGGTAGAAGATATGATTTGATTTGACGCATTTTAATAAATATAATCATCAGTAGATGTAGCATACCAAACTTTTATCAAACTACTCTTAGTTTAGCAAGGTGTGTCAGTGTTACTAAGTTATTTTCACGTGGCAGTCATATACAAGTTGAAATCATAAAATAAATTAATCAGCATAGTACATCTTTTCTAAGTTATCCACACTGCATGTTGTCTAACCCTTTTTGTCTGAATTAAATCAACAGTCACATTGTCTTTAATAGTAAGGTTTAATTATGTTAAATTATTAGCATATCATTATCAGTAGCATTAACAGAATCAAAAGCAATCACTGCCATTTTTTTTCACACTATGACTGAGCATTCCCAATTGGTTGGATAAAAAGGGAGAAAATTCACATCTTTCAAATGACATTTTGTTTCCAGAAATTAAATGCAACTAGCTCTTCTGAAGGAAGCACAGTCGATGTTGCTCCACCCCGGGAAGGGGAGCAAGCTGAAACTGAACCTGAGGAAGACCTTAAACCAGAAGCGTGCTTCACCGAAGGTAAACAAATTCTAATGTGATTAAATGTAGTCGTCTACTCTCATTGGTAACAGAGACTGAATACACCTCATCTCAATGGTATATTTAAAAGTAATAGTGAAGGTGTTTTTATCTTTGTTTTCCTATTTTCCTTATCCAAGTCCATTTGTTTGTATTTCTAGTATCATAGTATATCTTATAGCAGATACTATGCTTAGACAATTCAAGGATTTTTTTGTTGTTGTTCTCATCCTCCAAAATGTCAGGAAACTGATCTGTGAGATAAACGACATTTTAAATGTCATAAGTCACCAATATTACAGTGCATTCAGAATGCGCTGGCAGTGGTGTGTTGTGATTTGCAGGTGCTGTGGTGATTACAACCCATCCCTGACAGTTTAAAATGTGATTATTTTGCTCTATAGCCAGAACTTTGGGGGGATGTAGCTTGGTAAGACACAGTTGGCAAGGACAGTAATAATTGTTCTCACGTGACCCATGCAGTGTCTGCACGCAAATCAAAGATTTGTAGATTTTCTGAGGCTGTATTTAATCTAATGAGTAGTATCTCAGGTAGTTAATTCAAAAGTGGATAGAAGCTAGAAATATGGTAATATGAATCTTGAGGGCAGAGGACAAAGGAATAAGCTGACTGATTGACAAGATGAGTCATAGGTGTAAGGAAAACACTGAAGCCGAAAATAAATTAGCTTGAAAAACTGGCAGTGGCTGATACCTGACAAGACAGTGAGATTTTCTATGCATGAAAAGAAGGAAATAAAGACCCAGGATCACATGAAAAAAAAAATGAATAAACAACTTGAAAATGTAGTTTTTCCCCAAATCTGAAAAATATCCCTGAATTCTGTTTCTCCCAGTTGCTTTAAGGGAAAGAGAAACGACAGGTATTGAAGAATAGAATCATTTTTACTCAAGCAGTACAGGCAAAGTCGTTCCTTGAATTCTGAGTGGCTAGCTAAGAATGTACGTCAGAGAATGATTCATTACAGAGGAGAAACATTGAAGATGACTAGGGAATATGGTAGCCAGATACACCCAGATAATGCATTTGCCCCGGGGTAACCAGGGAGAAAATTTATCTTTTTCTTACTTAGATATGTTTTTTTAATTTATCGTATTTAATGTTTCCTTTTAGGTTGTATTAAAAAGTTCCCCTTTTGTCAAGTAAGTACAGAGGAAGGCAAAGGAAAAATCTGGTGGAATCTTCGGAAAACCTGCTACAGCATTGTTGAGCACAACTGGTTTGAGACTTTCATTGTCTTCATGATACTTCTCAGCAGTGGTGCTCTGGTAAGTGACATGTACATTGACAAGAATCAGATTCTTGTAAAGTAGCTTATCCTTTTAAAACACCAAAAGTATAAGAATGAAAACAGAAGGTCTATCTGTGCCTTGCAGAGCTGAGTAACAAAGATGTAACTTTGCAAAGTTTCATTCAGAACAAATCAGAACCATTAAACAAATAGAATTTCTCATCTAATGTTAATCTAGCAAATGTTTTCCTCCCTGAGATAACCTTTTACAGAGATGTCCTGTGGCTGTGTTACCTTCCCTGGCAAATTTCATTCAATTTGTGGTAATAACCATATTAGCATTTAAGGACTAAATGCTTTCTTCATATGTAATCAACTTATTCTTTTAAAGTGAGCCAGATCATTCAGGAAATTACGGAAAGTATTTCTGGCATAAGCTAATTCTATCCCTTTTTAACAGAATTTTCAGTCTTTGTAGTAATGTTTTTGTAGCATGTCTTTGCAGAAATACTTGAAGTAAGGTATTTTGACATTAAAAAGTAGGGATAAAGCACAGTTCACATCAGTAAAGATATTGGCCTATCCCTGTCAATATATTCACATTTGCTATAATCATTAGATTTTACAATGTTTTATATTATTCATTATTTATCAAATCATTGCTTTCTATTCAATGTTATACTAAACAATTTTTTCAAGTATTTACAGAAGGCAAGCCATCAAGATAAAACAAAGTGTTCTTGATTCACAGGCTTTTGAAGATATATACATTGAGCAGAGGAAGACAATCAAAACCATGTTAGAATATGCTGACAAGGTCTTCACTTATATATTCATTTTGGAAATGCTTCTCAAATGGGTGGCTTATGGATTTCAAACATATTTCACTAATGCCTGGTGCTGGCTAGATTTCTTGATTGTTGATGTAAGTATCCAAAAGATCTTTATGAATTTATTTTTAAGAGCCAAGTTTGACATTTAATATATTTACATAATTAAGACCTAGAAGCCAAGAACCTAGTCACTACTGTTGACATAACTATATAATTTTTTAAAATTACGTTTAATCTTACAGTGCAGGATGTCTGTCCGAATAGAGTAAGACTAAGAAATGTAGAGGAAACACTAAGAAATAAGAGGAAACACAGGGTTGCTTTTCTTCTCAGCAAGACAAAGACCTCAAGACAAAAAATAGTTTTAAAAAATATTAACAGATCTAACCACTTAGTTTATCAATAATTCAATTCTTTAACATCTCCAAAAGCAAAATAAAGATATATTTGAGGACCAGGAATTATGAGAATTAGTCTTTAAATTTTTACCAGAGCACATATGTTAAATTAACCCATTTCCTGTATTCCTTTTGTCCCATCCAGGGACAAGATGCATTTCCATTTTAAAATCAGTAGTTAGATATGCCAGTTAGCTAATCAGATGTTTACCATGGGAAGTGTAGTGTTCTGCTCTCAATCTGATTACCCTGGGGGCAGTAGTCATAGGAACATGCAATTACTGAATATATCTGACTTGTTACCCATTTATTTAATATTCTTGTTTCAAATAATGAAGGGTTACTAGGGCAAAGGGACAGTTGTCAGGTTATTGGTCATCTATGATATTCCACTGCACAAGGCGTCATAGCTCCTAACAAAACAAGGTGCTTTAAGCACTCTGTCTAGCTGTTTCCTAGCAATCAAGAAGCACTTTATTTTTATCCCTAACACTTGTCAAGAATCAGTGGTTCCCGTATATGTACATTCATTCTTTTAATCATTTTTGACAAGTCTGAGTCTACCCAAGTTCTACTCTTTCCTCTGACACATATATACTTATAATTCTATAGCCAAAATGTACTTGATTCTCTGAGCTCATAAAATATCTGCTTCCAAGTGGCTTTAAATAGACCAGATATGACTTCCAATTTCTGTCTTGACTTTCATAAATAATAGAAAAGAATTTTAATATTGTCCTAAAAAGGTATCCACAAAGGGAAATTAATGTTCCATGTTATCTAACTGGAATGGATCTTCAAGACTCTCTAGTCTGTTTTCTAGACATCAAGAAACTGAATTCTTGGTTTAACAGTTTCCGGACATAGCACAACTATTTCATGAAAACACTGATGCTAGTGTTCATATCTCTGCAGTATGTTAACGAAGGTGTTCTATGGATTGTCAAGCTACTTTATATGAGCCTGTAATGCTCTTTTTCCACAACCAGAGACTGAAATACATAAATTAATATAACTACAAATAAAAAGTTGTCCTCAAATGAGTAGATTCACAAAGCTAAAATAAACACTAAATTAAAACAGTTTTAGAGAATACAACTAAAACACGCTGAGAGCTTCAGATTTCATAGGGTATATTGCTGTAACTAACTCAAACCGCCACAAAACCCTAAAACAAACATTTTACTTTCAAATGTACCTTTCAAAAAGTATATTCGTATACTTGAGACATGCATCTATACAAAAAGTATAACCTTTCAATCTCCAGATTTCAATTTTACTTGAAAGTAAAATTAGATCACAGTGAGTTTTCTAACCTGCTGAAATACATTTTATTTATTCAAGCCATTAAGGACCATATGCTATTGTAGACAAAGGAGATATGCACAGGGTGGTGCATCTCCATTAGGGTTCACGTCCATGGGGCAGGAAGTGTGGGAAGCAAGCAACAGGTACGTAAATGAGATCCAGATGAGACAACTGAACTGAAAAAGTAGGTCATGCAGTGAGAACAGGTGAGAAAGGAAACAGGCAGACAGTGTCGCCTACTTTCCAGGGAGGAGTCCTAGTGCAGGAATGAAGGAAAGAGGCCAAGCATTCAAAAATCCGAGAGAGGAGACAAAAAGAATGTCTTGACTCTAAAGTAGGAATAAATTGAGGAGATTCAAGAGACACAAAGAAAACTGCAGTGATTGTGTGTGGTAAAACCCAAGTGAGAGCAAGAAAACCTGAATTCAGAAAGGTACACAGGAGCCAAGAAAGTTCTAATCTTATTATAATTTAATATATATTATAGTACTGTATAATTTATTGTACATTAACTGAATACAATGAAAAGTTCTTGGGGCAGATTAAACTGAGATTTAATATTCTTTGGTAAAGTGATTGCATTTGAAGGAAAAAAGACAAAGACTAAAAGCAGACAGATCACTTCAGAAACTGTCTTAATAATCCAGGCACAAGGAGATTTTGTCCTAGATTGTGGTGAAGAGATTCACTGATGGACTTGTTTGGAGTGAAGAGAGAATTCAGCAAACAGCTTTCTTCCTCAAATGAGTAGAAAACAGAAACATTAACTGTAGTGAGCAATAAGTGGAAAACACGTTTGACAGGCTAGCCAGATCATGGGAGAAGAAATGGATTAAATTTGAGATGCCTATTAAGACACTCAAGAGAAGATACTAATTTATATAGAATTCTGTATCTACAATTCAAGAGAGAAGCCAGGACCTGATGTTAAATTTAGGCATCAACAGTACATAGATGGTGTCTGATAGTATGAACCTCTTTCAATCCAGGTGGGCAGAGAATGCAAATTGATGAAGAAGTCCAAAACCAAATTCTGGTGGACACTTTAACATTTGGAGTTTTAGCAAAGGAGAAAAAGACAGTAAGGCATAAAAGACTAAAAGATAGTAGTTAAAAAGAGAACAGAATACGGCTGGTGTCACACAAGCTCAGAGAAGACAGGTTTTTTCCAAAGGAAGGAAGAACAGTTTTTTAAAAACTACAGCAAAGTTAAGTGACGAAGTATGGAAAATAGACATTTGTATTGTGGCAAAATAAGATCTTGGTTCTTGTGAATGCAAGTCTTTGGAACTGGTGGAAATAAAATACTGAAAAGTTTGAAGGAAGAATGGCAATGAAAAGTAAACAGCAAGTGTGAGTGTTCTTTTTGGAATAGAGGACAACTTAACCCATGCCCCTGTCTGCCAGGATATTGCACTAGATGGCCCAGGTTTTCCTGGTTCTGAATAATTTTTCTATCCTAATATTGAAAAGATAGTATCTTTATGAAATTCAAGATAATTTATACTATTCCAGAATTACGCAAACTATACTGTAGATGCTGCTATTGGACAAATGTTAAACAAAATAAATAATTAGTATTTATCTGAAATTATTGAAAGCAATTTGACTTCTTGTTATCAATTATTGATATCTTGTTATCAATATTTTTGCATAAATATTATCCTTCAGAAAATTCATCCAAACATCAGTCATAGAAAATTCAAATTCACTTTTATACTGCCTTAAAGTGCTAAGGCATCCAAAACAAACTCTAGGCTCAGTCATGAAGTGTGCATTGCCCACAGGTAATGTCTACTTCATTCACAGCACAGGGCACCACGTGGCTGCAATGAGGTCCTTGTTTCCTGCTATGGATCTCGTTTCCCATGCTTTTTCAAGGTCTCCTTAGAATCCCTGCCAGATGTTCTGTTGCTATAGGCAATAGAAGAGAGACACCAATAGTTATTTCCAGTTACCAGAAAGCTCTAGAATCTAGTGGCTGCTGCCTTTGTACTTGACATAGTGTGCATTCTCAATAACACAGTTAGATTGTTTGTAACAGTAGGACAGTAAAATGTCTAGCACGCTAAAACCTTATTGTGAGTTTGACACTAATGAAGAGAAATATTTAATGACAGTGAAAATTGCCACCCATGATTTACTGCTTATTGTGTACAAGTATTTCTAAAAGCTCTTTACATATGTTAAGTCATTCAATCTTCAAAATCCATGAGATAGAAATAACAATTATCTTAGTTTTTCAGAAAGGAAGCTAGTAACAAAAAGTTAAATTGTTTGCCCTAGTTAACCTAACTAAGTGGCTACACTGAATTTTGTACTAAAATATTTTAGTTGTAATTATTGTATTTCTAATCCTTAATTTACAAATCTCATTATTAATGTCCGGAGTTTTTTAATAATGTTTTATTTTAAAGTGAATAGAAGCAAGCAAAATAAAACAGAACAAAGCCAATCAAAACAAGACAATGTAAGTGATACAGGACTATAAGGTAATAGTAATCCAAAATGGCTACAATAATATATCTTGTTATCTTTGATAATAGGAAAACAACAATGGTTACCATAGTGCCTCTTGTTGTCTTCAAAATAGCTGCTCATACCATCAGATATAGTAAAATCAAATAAAACCAAACCAAACAGAACAATGAAAATGATGCAGGACTTTAAAGCAATATAATAGGGAATTAACAATGGCTACCCCCTTCAGAAGGAGATCTCCCCTAGATGCTGCACTGCACATTGTTATCCTCTGAATAGATGATCAGACTACTGGCTTTAGGCCTGCAAAGTCAGTGAGACACTAAATACTACAAGCATTAAGTTGTATTTTACTTCAATAGCTGTCGTCTCAGCTTGTATTTTTCTGCATTAGCTGATTACATAAGAGGACGAGTGGACCTTGGCTCTTCTTATCTCTCAGCCCACATCTGATCCTCCTCCCTGTGACCCACACATGGCAGTGACTCACAGGAAGTGGCTGGCTTCCTATTCTCCTCCCTGCATCCCATGAATGGTGCCGACTCATAGGGAGTGGCTGGCTTTATAATGAAAACATGTTTTCATTATAAATTATTTATTAATTTTTAAATTTATCCTATTATATATCTTTTGATTATTATCTATTCTTTGCTACAGGTTTTGTCTCTGTCTTGGAGATTTAGAAATGTAACAGCTAGTAGATAGCACAGCTGTCTCTGTCTAGCACAGTGCTCTTTGCCCTATATTTTGCAATAGATAGAGATCAACTAGATATTGTGTGTTCAAAGGTCTCATATTGTACTCTGAAAATGGTTGCTTATATGTAGTGGTGGTAAAAAATGTGATAATGTCCTGTTAGTTCATACATGCTTGTCTTGAATTTCAGCTAAAGGACTTGCAAAGAG